ACTTCTACTATTCTCACCAAGCTTCGCTTACACTTCTGACATGGAACCTCTCCTTAACCTCAAATCATCCATGATTGGTCCAAACGGCAACGGTCTTCACGACTGGATCCACTCATCTTCTCCAACAGCTCACTGTTCTTTCTCCGGCGTTTCTTGTAACTCAAACGCTCGTGTTATCTCACTAAACATCTCTTTCACTCCTCTGTTCGGTACAATCTCACCGGAGATTGGGAAGTTGAATCTTTTAGTGAATCTAACACTAGCTGCGAACAACTTCTCCGGTAACTTACCATTAGAGCTAAAGAATCTCACTTCTCTCAAGGTTTTAAACGTTTCCAACAATGGAAACCTCAACGGAAGTTTCCCCGGAGAGATTCTCATCTCCATGGTCCACCTCGAAGTCCTCGACGCTTACAACAACAACTTCACCGGAACATTACCTCTAGAGATACCATCCCTCAAGAACCTGAAACATCTCTCTCTCGGAGGTAACTTCTTCACCGGAGAGATACCAGAAAGCTACGGAGATGTACAGAGCTTAGAATATCTCGGACTAAACGGAGCTGGTCTCTCCGGTAACTCACCGGCGTTTTTATCACGTCTCAAGAATCTCAAAGAAATGTACGTCGGTTACTACAACAGCTACACCGGCGGTGTACCACCGGAGTTCGGTGAATTAACCAACCTCGAGGTTTTAGACATGGCGAGTTGTACACTCACCGGTGAGATTCCGACAACGTTAAGTAACCTCAAACATTTACATACTCTGTTTCTTCACATCAACAACTTAACCGGACAAATCCCACCGGAGCTTTCCGGTTTAATCAGCTTGAAATCTCTTGATCTCTCAATTAACCGGTTAACCGGAGAGATTCCACAAAGCTTCGTCTCTCTCGGGAACATTACTCTGATCAATCTCTTCAGAAACAATCTCTACGGACAAATCCCTGAGTTCATCGGAGAGTTACCGAAGCTTCAAGTGTTTGAAATCTGGGAGAATAATTTCACGTTAACGTTACCGGAGAATCTTGGTCGGAACGGGAATCTGAAAAAGCTCGATGTATCTTCAAATCATCTCACCGGAGTTATCCCCATGGATTTATGCAGAGGTGAGAAGTTAGAGATGTTGATACTCTCTGATAATTTCTTCTTTGGTCCGATTCCTGAAGAATTAGGTCAATGCAAATCGTTAAACAAGATCAGAATCGTCAAGAATCTACTCAACGGGACGATTCCGGGAGGTTTATTCAATCTTCCGTTAGTTACGATTATCGAACTCACTGATAATTTCTTCTCCGGTGAACTTCCGGCGGAAATGTCCGGTGATGTTCTCGATCAGATTTACCTCTCGAACAACTGGTTTTCCGGCGAGATTCCACCGGCGATCGGGAATTTCCCGAGATTACAGACGTTGTTCTTAGATCGGAACCGATTTCGCGGCGAGATTCCGAGAGAAATCTTCGATTTGAAGCATCTGACGAAGATCAACATAAGTGCGAACAACATCACCGGAGAGATTCCAGATTCGATCTCGACCTGCACTTCGTTAATCTCCGTCGATCTAAGCCGTAACCGTTTAAACGGCGAAATTCCAAAAGAGATCAACGACGTGATCAACTTGGGTACTTTAAATCTCTCCGGTAATCAACTCACCGGAACAATCCCTACCGGAATCGGAAACATGACGAGTTTAACAACTCTAGATCTCTCTTTCAACGATCTCACCGGAAGAGTACCACTCGGTGGTCAATTCATGGTGTTTAACGACACTTCTTTCGCCGGGAATCCTTACCTCTGTTTACCTCACCGAGTCTCATGTTCTATCCGGCCAGGTCAAACCTCAGATCGTAACCACACGGCGTTGTTCACACCGTCGAGGATCGTAATCACGATTATCGCGGCGATCACTGCTTTGATCTTGATCGGTGTAGCGATTCGTCAGATGAACAAGAAGAAGAATCAGAAATCTCTAGCCTGGAAGCTAACCGCCTTTCAACGACTAGATTTCAAATCAGAAGATGTTCTTGAATGCTTAAAAGAAGAGAACATAATCGGAAAAGGCGGTGCCGGAATCGTTTACCGTGGATCAATGCAGAACAATGTAGACGTCGCGATAAAACGACTCGTTGGCCGCGGAACCGGGCGGAGCGACCACGGATTCACGGCCGAGATACAGACGTTAGGAAGAATCAGGCATCGTCATATAGTGAGATTGCTAGGTTACGTAGCAAACAAGGACACGAATCTGCTTCTATACGAGTACATGCCTAATGGTAGCCTCGGTGAGCTTTTGCACGGATCAAAAGGTGGTCATCTTCAATGGGAGACGAGGCATAGAGTAGCCGTTGAAGCGGCGAAAGGACTGTGTTATCTTCACCATGACTGTTCACCATTGATCTTGCACAGAGATGTTAAGTCCAATAACATTCTTCTAGACTCTGATTTCGAAGCTCATGTTGCTGATTTCGGGCTCGCTAAGTTCTTAGTTGACGGTGCTGCTTCCGAGTGTATGTCCTCGATAGCTGGCTCTTATGGTTACATTGCCCCAGGTTAGTTCTAATCGCTTACATCACACGTTGCTAATACAAACTAATAAGTTACAAGCTCTGATTGTTATTTGTTTTCGTTTTGATAGAGTATGCGTATACTCTGAAAGTGGACGAGAAGAGTGATGTGTATAGTTTCGGAGTGGTTCTATTGGAGCTAATAGCTGGGAAGAAACCGGTTGGTGAATTCGGGGAAGGAGTGGATATAGTAAGGTGGGTGAGGAACACGGAGGCTGAGGTATCTCCTCAGCCATCAGATGCTGCTACCGTGGTTGCGATCATTGACCCGAGGTTGACTGGTTATCCGTTGGCCTGTGTGATTCATGTGTTCAAGATCGCGATGATGTGTGTGGAGGATGAGGCAACGTCAAGGCCTACGATGAGGGAAGTTGTACACATGCTCACTAACCCTCCCAAGTCCGTGACTAACTTGATCGCGTTCTGACCATATCAAGATGAATGAAAAATAAAATGTGTTTTGTGCTTAATTATATTTTTTTGGGGTGTTTCTATATATGGTTTTTAAACTACTTATGAGTTTGTATATTTGTTGTGTTTCGATTTGTTGTAAATTTACCTCTTTATGTGTTGTTATCTATTCGAGTATGTAATGCAATCTGTATGCTTATTGATAATGGCTTTAAACTTTAAGCTATGGATTATGACACAATTGTGTATAGAAATAACATAATGAGAAGACCTTCGACCTCTTGTTCCACAGTAGATTCTTGACAAATATTACGTACCTTTCTTTGTGAAGGCTCTGTGTTTAAATTCTCTATGTTAGAGAGTATTACTTGTATAAGTATCGAAAAACCATGAGGATTTGCCAAATACTGGATCTTGTACCATTTCTTTCACCTTACCAACAAATAATTGAAAAAGGTGAGGAAGAATACATTATAGCACATAATCAAACATGGAATCAATAGAGTAGTGATTAGATTAAGCTATCGGACTCGTACAGAGTGTTACTCTGCATTTGGATAACTGACCAGTTTCATATGTATTAAGATCTTAGTGCTCGTTCACTTGTCACACATCTCTTATATGTACATTACAAATGCAGAATCACCTCAGGCTCATGACATTGTAGTTGCAATGCTCCTGAAGCAAAAACCCGCATCAACTAAGAAAAAACCGACAAATAAACCAAGAGAAATTAACTCGTCAGCGTTATGTTCATTTAACAGCAGACCACTTCAACTTGTATCATCTGTATTATCAACAAGAGAAATTAACGGTATGATGTTGTGAATCGAACTTGTATACACATAAACTCTAACCTCCATTCATGGCCGATAACTTGATACAAATGAAACTGGTCATTTATCCAAATGCAGATGCGAGAAGAAGACAACAAAGGAGCAGAGTGACAACTTAGAACCCAATCCAAGGGAGATCCCACTCCACTGCCTCCTCACACACAAAACACATTCTTCATCGCTAGATTCTACCGAATATCCAACTCGAAAATCTAACCATACTTCAGGTTTCACAAGTTCACTAAGCTAGAGACAAAGATCCTTTACTTAATACTGTGTATTAGTCTCTACATTAGGAGCATATATACACATTCTCAAAGCTTTCATGTTCTTCTGTTCACAACACTATACATTAGTAACAAAGAGCGATCTTGATTCATTACACGAAACGTCAAGTAACACTGAAGCTCTGGAAATTGAAAATTGAAATTCGATTTGATTAATCAAAACAAGAACAACTATCATCACTATAAGATTTTACAACATATCAAATACAATTATACAAAACAAAATTCCCAAAAACTGCATAGCTACAAGAAGAACATTCACTTGCCTTATTCCTCACAAACCTATTATACAGATATTCTTATGGCTTCATACATGTTTATATACTTTCGTTTGCTTAACAAAAAAGAGGAAACAAAAATTGAAAAGTTTATGTAGTCAGAAAGCACCGTAGGGTATGTGTTGAGGAAGCCGAAATCGAACCTGTGAAGCAGGTGATCTGATCGCAACGCCGTGCCAACAAATCCCTCCTTTACAACTCCCAACACCGTCGTGATGGTGGCGGTGACTGAGATCCTCTTCTTCCTCAACACCGCGATTGTACCGCGAAACCGCATCAGCCGCTCTTCTAGAAACGTCCCAGGCGAGAGTAACCGCTAACAAAACCCCGACCGCCGTAATCGAAACCACAACGACGAATCCAGCGCTGAAACTCTTCCCTGAAACCAAGCCGTACGCCTTAATCGCTATAATAACCGCCACGTAGATCGTCGCGAGATTCCCGAGAACCGCGTCGGATAACGCCATTAGACACATAGAGAGATAAGGAAGGTTTTCTTCTTCCTCCGCTTCGCCGATTCGTGAAATTTCTCCGGTCGCTCGTTACGGTGGCGAAGCTTTAACAGACACAAAAAAGTGAAGAAAGCGTAAATTGTGGTGGATGTTGAAAAAAAAAAAAAACTCAAGGCGTAATCTTGTCAAGGGAGGATATTTAAAAGGACTAAAATACCCTTGCGAAGATCTTTTGCTTTTATGAATCATACTAGTGTGAGAAGAGTTTGTTAGTACCCTTTTGGTCTAAAACGGCACCGTTTTTTTTTTCAATTTGTTAGACTTTGTGCCACGCACTATAGTTAATGACGTTCACGTATGTCATTGTCAAAGAATCAAGAGTCTCGTCTCGTCTCTTTTTCTATGGCTGTGGTCAAATTTGATCGTACAAAAACATTAATTTCTCGTTTTGACTTCTTAATGGGCTTGATAATGGTTTCTAATGGGCCTACAAAATCAATAAAGTTTTGAAAACTGTTTCTTAAGGTTTTTACTCTTTCAATGCTTTTGGCATTCACTTGCAATGTCTTTACATTTACAATTATAGATTAAAAGCATGTGTAGATATTCCATGATGGTTTTATTCTTATGATATTTTTTTTTGACAAATCATATGAAGTGAAACGGACACTTGGTTTATAATTTATAGGTTCAGTCCCACTATACATAAAAAGGCATCATGATCATGAACAACATCTCCTTAATTTATATTATCTATTTCCTTTTTTTTCAGCTAGTGGTTACCACATATCACTATTAATAATGTTTTGATATTACGTTTTTTCAATTATAGAGAATACCTGAGTTTCTTATGGCTCTCATGCGTTACTAAAGTCAAAACTAATTTTAAATACAACGGTTGAGACAAGAACGCGAAATTATAATAATGGTAATTATTCATTTCAATGGTCCGTATAGCCAACGCAGGCATCAGGTAACAAACAAATGAAATATTCCCCACCATTTTCCCCAATAATTAAACGTAAAACTAAATAATAGATTACCTTATATAGTGTACATAATAATATTCTAATCCTAATTATATTAAAAATCAAACATATATTCTGACCTTACAATTTAATCAAACATTCCTATCTTTTTTGAACTCCACCCAGCAGCCTACCACTTTCTTCCCCACGTGTTCCTCACCCAAAATAAGAAATCCCTCCCACGAAGGGTACAATCGTAATTTCGGGTAAAGAGCTTTCTCTGGTTGTTGTTGTTTACTACCTTTATGACTCAATCCGACGTCGTAAAGTTCACATGGGCCGAGAACGAGATAAGGCTTTAGGTATGGGCCCACACATCGTCCTGATTTAACGCGGGAGATCCAAAATTAGGTCAAAAGAGCCGCCACATCCGACAAAAGGCCAGCGCGAGAGTGACTGTGATTCCACTTAACGAAAGATGTCGACACGTGGACGGTGATGCTTTACTCTGGTCTAAAGCTCCTTCGTATATCATCGATGTATCTACCGGCGACGAAGAGGTACTACTGTCTCCGGCCGGTGTTGTCGACGTCCCTGGTGGTGTCGTCACTTTCGGGTCTTGGCTCTGATCTTGAGATGATTTTTGACTGCAACGGATAAAAAAAACATAGCCGTTAAATAAACACACACATAGTAGCCACGCGTCTCCTCGGGATTGGGTATAACATTAAAAAAATATCTATCGGACCGTTAGCAATTCACATCCCAATAAATCTATCTCTGTTCGAGGGTAAATCGGGAATATAAAACAAATTGATAAAAATACAAAAAAAATTAATGAACACTCTTTTTGCAGTAGAAAGCAACAAAAATCTGTAGATTCTAATTTCTTTTCGCAGTGGTTATAACAAAATGACCAAAAGAAAAAGAAAAAAAAACCGGTTACTTCGATTGCACGGTAAGCAAAAAAGGTCAATAATTGTCTCATTGAATGACGTAGATGTAGTAAACATGATGTCTGTTGTACTTTGACGAAATTACCCTCCCAAATTAATCATGATTAGTGATGCCACAATGAAGATGTCTATTAATTTGACCATTTCACCCTCCCAAACTAGCCGTGTTCTCTCACCAAGCATAATAATCATATTAGTGCCACAGTGAAGGAACGTCTATTGTAATTTGACGAAATTACCCTCCTGATTTTAAGGGTTTTCTCACCTAATCACACTGTTCATGCTAATTAGTGCCACAGTGAATCATGATAAGATGTCTGTTACGCTTTGACGAAACTAACCCTCACTAATTAAAATCATGTTCTAAGCTAACAATGACAGATTAGTAAGCAAGGGGTATAAATGGAATTTCACCTGGTGTTTGGAGACGGGCAAAAAGTGATAACGTAATTAGGAGATTTGGCGCATGTGAAGGTACTGCTCTGATCATCGTAGGCGTAGCTGTAAGCACGTGGACACGCGTTTTTGAATATCAACGAGTAAGACGACGGTTGACACGTGTCAGGCGTACCGTGATCGCCGTTACAACAATATTCCGACGATCGGAAAGCTTCGCAAGCGCTTTTGCATCCCGTCGTCGTCTGTTTCCCACCATCTACACTCGTCAATCTCAGCTCCGACGGACAAGATCCGTTCAGATCCACGACGCACCCGGTGCTGCTACAGTTAAGCCCCGATCCTCCCTGAGGCACGACGAGCATCGGGACGTTGTAACCGTCGACGAGACTCACGTCGTAGAAATCTAAACCACCGGATCCGTCTAGTGTGAACTCGGCTAGTGTAGCCGGTGGTGCGGCTCCGGATCCGGAGCATTCGAGTTTTCCAGATCCGCAATCTCCGGTGAGACATGAGAATTTTCCGTCAGTGTCGGTGGAGCAGAGTGTTCTTCCCCAGAATCTACCGCCCCATGAAACCGGAGCGTTGATTGTACGCTCTTCACCTTTTTGAAGTACGAATCCGGTAGTCGGAAGTGGAGGAACTCCGGCGTTTGATAAAATCCCAGGCCATACTGTGTATTCGCATTTGTTCTCCATTATGAAGCTCGTTGATCTAACACCTGTTGATAAAACAAAAAAAAACCCCAAAATCAATCACACACAAAAAAACCCCAATTCACAGTAGTAATCTAAGATCCATTGGAGAAGATTCGTACCGGAAATGAAGAAATGGGAGAAGAGTAAGAAGATCAATGGCAATGGAGAAGCCATTGGATTGAAGAAGAAGAAGAATCTTTTTTTGAGGATTTTATTGCTCTGTT